TACATACTTGCTAGTCTTTCTACGCATAGGGATGATTTGTTCCTGCACACTCAGTAAGGCTTATTTGAAATACAGCCAGTTTTCCTGGACTCCTCTCCCCCTCAGTCTGGCTTCCCAGGGGAGCCAGCCCAGGAGTTCCCTGAGTGAGTTGAAGTCTGCTTTTCTGAAGTCCAGGCTTCTTACTCTTCTGCTCTCCATCCTTTCTTTCCTCAGGATCCTGAATTCAGTCCTCTTGTGGTCACTGCTGCCCAAGTTGCCATCCATTTACTAAATTCCCCACCAATTCTTCCCTGTTTGTGAGCAGCAGGTCAAGAGGAACATGGTCTCTGGTTGGCCACTCTAGCACTTGCACCAGGAAGTTGTCCCCAGTACTCTCCAAAAACTTCCTGGATTGCCTGTACACTGCTGTATTTCCCTCCCAGCAGATGTCAGGGTGACTGAAGTCTCCCCATGAGAACCAGGGCCTGTGATCAGGAAACTTCCACTACCTGTTTAAAGAAAGCCTCATCCAACACTTCCTCCTGATGTGGAGGTCTATAGCAGACCCCCACCATGACATCACCCTTGTTGCTTTTCCCTCTAACCCTAATCCAGAGACTTTCAACAGGCCTATCTCCAGCTTCATACTGGAGCTCTGAGCAATGATATGACTTTTACATAAACTGCAACTCCTTCTCCTTTTCTCCCCTACCTGAACAGCTTTTACCCATCCATGACAGTGCTCCAGTCATGTGACCTATCCCACCAAGTCTCTGTTATTCCAACCATGTTATAGTTCCATGATTGTGCAAAGACTTCCAATTCTTCCTGGTTTTTTTCACGGGCTCTGTGTATTTGTGTACAGGCAGCTGAGGTAACTAGTTTATTGCCCTGATTTCTCAGGAAGTATGAGAGCACCTTCCCTGTTGCTGCCTCCTGCTTGCTCTTCCTCCAGGTCTTCTGCTTTCCCACTTACCTCAGGACTTTGGTCTCCATCCCCCAGCAAACCTAGTTTAAAGCCCTCCCCACTAGGCTAGTGAGCATGTCTGCGAAGACGCCCTTCCCTCTCTTCATCAGGTGGATCCCAAATCTTCCCAGTAATCCTTCTTCGTGGGAGAACATCCCATGGTCGAAGAAGCCAAAGCCCTACTGGCAACACCACCTGGGCAGGCATGTGTTGATTGCAGGATACATCTGCTCCCGCCCGGGCCATTTCCCTTGACCAAAAGGATCAATGAGAACACATCCTGAGCCTCAGATCCCCTCACCCTTACACCCAGAGGCCTATAGTCACTTTCAATATGCTCAGGGTCTCCCCTGGTGATATCATTGGTGCCCACATCCCAACCAAGTGTATGTCTAACCTGCTCTTGAAAATGTCCAAGGATGGAAATTCCACAACTTCTCTAGATAGCTAGTCCCAATGCTTGACCACCCTCATAGTCAGAAATGTTCTCGTAATCATGAAGCTAAATTTCTCCTGCTGCAACATGAGGCCATTTTCCCTAGTCTTCTCCCCTATTGCCAAACAAAAAAGCCCTACTCCATCCTCTGTGTAATCTCCCTTCAGGTATTGAAAGACTGTTATCAAATTCCTTCTTAGCCTTCTCTTCTGCATACTAAATAACCCTAGTTCTTTCAGGCTTTCCTCATAGGTTTTGCTTTTCAGGCCCCTAATAATTTTTATTGCTCTGTGCTGGACTGTTCCCAAACTAACCATATTCTTCCTGAAGTGCAGGGTCCAAAACTGGACAAAGTGCTCCAAGGGAAGCCTCACAAGTACTGAA